GCTAAGTTACAAGGGTGTTATAATTCCACTGACCTCAGAGATGGTGATAGATTTGCTGTATAACCTGGAAAAATGGAAAGAAAAGAGTTTGCTCCATTGCTGGATATACTGCTTGCCATGAAATAATAGGCAAGGTCACTACCAAGTTCTGGCATCTATGATAAAGTTTCATGGCTGTGGTTGCTAGATATTCTGCTTTACAGGGCAGGTTAAAGAGTAACATAATGGTCTGTGTACCTATTCACATATATTTATGACCTGTTCATATTTTTGAAGGTTGCCTTTTGTCAGCTTGTGTTCCTGAACTTGAGTTCCTGTTTGTATCGGGTGATTTTTCTTTTGCCGCTTCTTTGGCCCTGTTTGAGTAACGTTGCATTAGCGAGTGGTGACTCCAGGTCAAGTTTCATTCTGAGCACTGTAACTCTGACCTGCAACCCATGGAAGGGAGGTCTCCTATCTGCTCTTGTGAATCTCCATCTTTGCTCATGTGTCGCTGATGAGAATAATGCAAATTTTCACCTGGTTGAAGCTGCCTTTGAAAGTGGTCTCTGATAAAAGATGCCCCCAGGTAGCTGACGGTGAGTCAATGTTGACTGGTATTCCTTAGTAAAAGCAAGGGAATTTTCTCCTGTTGTACAGAAAAATAACAGTATGGTTCAAATAATCCTTTGTAATCATTAGATACAGCCCCAAGAAGAATAACTGATTAATCTAGGCCATGTCCATTAAAAATAATTGACTAGGGAATCCCCATTTTACCCTTTTTACACAAATTTAGCATTAAAGTTTCTGTTTTCTGTAATCCCCACAGACCTCCTGTCAGTGTGAAATATAAATCTATTTCTTTTCTTTTTGATCTTAACACTTGTAAGTAATAAATAATTGATTGCCAAAGGAATTCTGGGAATATATTCAGCCTTAAATTGAGCACTAAACTATTTGCAAATGTACTTAGGCACCAGTCCAAAAGATAGATCAAAAGAATGTCAATTGGATATTGGGAAGTGAAGTGTCATCATGTCTTAGAATTAGGACGCATGAAATATAAGGAGAGAGATAACAGCTGTCAGATCTGCTACCAGTGGTAATAGCAAGAGGTAGGTTCTTACAGAAAGCTTGAACTTTTGTTCAAGCAGAATGGTGGTTTCCCCTTAGTAGTGACATACTCGAGACCATATTTGGGGAATGCCTTGTCTTGAAACCGGGGCTTGACACTGAACTAACCCAGGAGATGGAATTGGATAGAATAGATAGAAGTGCATCTATCAAATCAGAAAGAGTTGGGGTATGTTTACTGCAGTGACCGGTCACCTTTGGCACTGCTGGCAGATCTATTGCGATAGTCTGGATTTCAGCGTGGTTACAAGCCTGAGGTGGATCAGTAAAGCTGTGGTTTGTGCAGCTGGACATGGATTTTTTCCAGAGCCTGAGCTAACTTCAGTAGATCTGCACTGCTGTGCTTGCAAACGAGACACATCCCAGTGTCCAGTATTCCCAGATTCCAATAGCTGGATATCAGTGGAAAAAATTTACACGTTGTGTGAACGTCAGTCTTGCCCCCTGCATTCAAAGCTCAAGCACTCTCTTCATGGAGCGCGTCCTCTTGGGATCCATTTCCAAGCATGGGAGTAACAGGAAGACAGGGTTGAGGGCTGCCAAAAGTGTCAGGGGTCTCGGTGTGAAGAGAGGATGAGGGGACTGGGCAACACTCACGTGATTCTGTAGTCTGTGTTTCCGTGCAGCAGTGGAGGAGTCATGGGTGGGTTTGCTTGCCATCTACCCATCTCTATTAGGTTGGTCTTAGTTTCTTGCATCTGCCCAATCTGGCCATCTGTTTGAAGAGGTGTAGATCAAAGATAGTTTTGCAGTGATTTTCACAGAAGCCTTTCTGACTTTCGGGGCTGCAGGGTGCTATCTCATCCGTCATGTAAGTTACTTGGGTCTCAAGATCCTCTGCTGTAAGACAACTTCCAGTAACTCTCATGAAGTGGTGGCACATGTGGAGCATTGCTAAGAGAGCAGGCGCTTTCCCATGTTGATCTGTCCTGCTCATGGTGCATCTGCCATGATTGTGAGCTGGCCAAGGGGAATGGCTACAGCACTGATGTAGAACAGTTAGTGACAAAGTTACTAATCAGTATCTTTTTTTCTATTGGAGAGTGCAGGCTGGTAAAACCCAAAATGTTCTTGCAATTTTTCATGAGATGAAAATGGTTTGGATGGATTTCTCATCTTGAAAACATCAGGGGATTTTGGGGGGAAGTTGTTGAGACATCATGTGTTGGTAATTTCAATGTGAAAACTGACTTGTTATGAAATAGTCTTTCTTATAGATCTTTGAAGTTAATTATACTAAAATATTTGAATGAAAAAGACCACAGTTCAAGGGAAACATTTCAGAAATGTGCTTGTTGGCTCACTGGTGAATTAGAATACAAGACTTTGCTCTTTTGGTTTTTCATACTAGGGATTTTTTTAAAATCTTGGAACTCCCCTAGGATGGAAAACCTCTTCCTACTGTATATAAAAGTTAGTAGCCATCTAAGATTGTAACATGTTAAGGCAGCCTAGAAAAACCTTCCTGTAGCTTGGGAACAGCATTATGTATTTTAACGTCCTATATTTAGTGCATTCTGACAATAGTGCAAAAAGTCACTTTAGGTTAATTTAAATTTCTCTTTTTTTATCTTTATGCAATCTTTATGCAATTTCTTTGTGTTCATATCTATTTTAATGCTTGATTTTCTGGACAATGAGCTGCTGATAGGATTGTTCACTAAAGCAGCAAATTTGGAACTGATTATTCAAAGTATATCTGTAGAAAATGAATTCTGAGCGTATGTAGAATACAAGATTTTTCATCAACTGCATGATTTGTGCACTCCCATAACCAGTCACAGCCTGAATTTTCTGATGATACATGTTTAAGAGAAATTTACTGAGGAGAAGTTTAGGGAAAAAAAGACTTCTTGCAGAAAAGTTTGAAAAATGTTTAGAACTAGGATTTAGTAATGGTTGTTTCTAGGGGGAAAAAGTACATGGTTAATATTCATTCTCTGCAAATGGGGTTTATTGAAGTAGTTCCTCAGATTATTCTCATAAATTTCACCCCTTTCACTACTGTAACCTTTTATCAACAGTGAATGATGTTGTAGTCAAATTAACTTTGACAATTAAGCACCTCACTAAAGCAAACTAACTTGAAGAGTCTCAGCCTGAGACTAAGCCTGAAACTGCCTGTTTTAATCCAGCTAAATTCAAGTTGCTGGAGGAGTTTGTTCTTGGCTGCTCCGGCGCCTGCCATGGTGATGGGAACATGAAGCCAGATGTAGGGAGAGCAGGACAGGACAAAACTGGAGTTAGGTTGGTCAAAACCAGTGATGAAACCAGTTGCGGGCAGACCTCAAAGCACTGCTTTTTTTCAAAGGTTAATTTCTCCTTTGTAAAATTCACTGCCTCAAAAACAAAGTTTTAATTCCTGAAGCACAAAATAAGTGTCAAGAAGAAAGCGCTCTGTTGCTCTCCGTCCTGAAGTGATCCAAGATGTGAGTTGTGCCTGTCCCAAAGTAGGGCAGTTTCAACCTTTAATTCCTTGAGACAGAATTGCAATAAGTCTGTAGGCAAAAAAGAAAAAAAAAACTCTATAATTCCTCTCAAGGCATTGGAGTTTAATAAGAATGATTTTCTGTAACCCTTAACACAGGTCCTTAGGTGTCTGAGAGACCACTCTAGTTTCCAGCAGATTTTTCGGTTGCTGCTGGCTCCCTACAAGCCCTTTGGGTTTATTTAGTGGGAAGATCTGCCTCTTAGGAAGCAGTGCAGCTGCATGAGGAGAGTGAAATGTGGAAACCTCTGCAAAATCTGCTCATCACTTAAGTGGAAGCACTGGTGTGACTGGAACTGACTGCCAGGAATGGCATGAGGGTGAAAAGAGGTGACTGGTTTGGTGAAAAAGAAGGGAAAATAGGAGACAGAAATCAACGCCACAGCTTCTACCAGAGCAGAACAGCTCCTACAGTTGGTGAAAATTATGCTGAATTTGAAGGTAGTGTGATTAGGTTTTGAGTTATGCAGAGAGTGACAGAGATAAGCGGACCCTGAATAGAAGCTGTTCCCACAGAAAAGAAGCTGTTCCCACAAGGTCTGGGTGATTAACTAACCCATTCAGTGCCATTCCCACCCGTAAGCTGGAGGTTTCTGCTGATTGCCACGTTTGCTCTCTAGCCTCCTAAAGTGAGTCTAGCATTCATTCAAAAATGGACTTAAATAAAATATCCAGATTCTTTCTCTCTGTACCCTTTCCCTCTTGTCCCTTGCAAACAAAGTCCCAGCAAACAAAAGCCCTCTCTTTGGGTACCCCCACGCCAAATTAAATGGTAGTTTGTAGCCAAAACCTGTGTTATCTGGGTAGTTTTATCTATCCTTGAGGGATGGATAATGAAATATTCTTCAGTTTCTGAAGGAGTGGGGTGCTTCCAAGGAGTTCAAGGTAGACAGAAGAGGAGTCTTGGGAACAGGGAAGGGGAACACGGATAGGTTAGCTCGCTTGCTCAACAAGGAGCCCTGCAAGTGTTTTAGGAGATACATAAAATGGGGCTGGGGGATGAACGAGGAGCAGTGGGGGAGCGTCCCAGCAGTCGTGGAAGTACCTGTTGGAGCTACAGTCGCAGCCCGATCTGCAGCCTCAGTATTTTCCTCTTGGGATCCCGTCTTGGAAAAAATACCACATTTCACAATCCAAGATAATTGACTGCGATTGAGATCATTAATTACAAGCATCTCTGTTTATGTTTGAATATGCGTTGACCTTTGTGTGGCTAGATGTGCTACTGTACCAAGCTTTCTTGTATCTTTTTATCATCTCATCATCTCTTCCCTCCTTACGCTGTGTTGCCTCTCTGTGTTTTGCCCGGGGAAGATTTCAAGCCTGGTGCTTGCTCCCCTCTTCGCAGGCGAGTATCTTACTCCATATTTATGGTAAAGGATCCTCTCCCACTCACATGCTGGATTCCCAGCGGCAGCATCATCTCAGCCTGGAAAACCATGGCCAGTGAATTGCTCGAACATCGTCCTCACAGTGGCAGCCATGTGGTGACCGCAGCAAGAAAAATACTTGGATTTTTCTGTTTCTCTGGGTTACAACAGGTGAATCTGGCCCAGGCAGTGCTGAGATGGCTGCTCAGATTCCCCAGCTGTGCATTTATCTGTTTGTATTCCCTTTTTTTCTTCTTCTCGCTTTTGTAGGATGAAGGTAATGACAATGTGGGCTTCTAAATTTGCCCAAGCTGCCGGCAGGGTCTGTGGTGTTGCCGTGGGCTGTGCGAACCTGCAGGCCGCAGCGCGCCGGCCCGCGGCGCTGCTCGAGGTGAGAAGCCCTGCGGCACCCAGAGGCGGGCAGAGGCCTGGGGGCTCACGGGCTGACGGGGATGTTGGCTGGAAACACCCCTCCTGCAGCGGGTACCGTCCCCGCGATGGAAACGCAGTGGAGTTCAGCGCCAGGTCTCCGTGACAGTGAGTCAGACCCCGCTGTGTGAAATGGAGTGCTCCTGCACGGGAGGAACCACCCGTCCTCACAGGGGAAGGCTCGGGGCAACCCATCCTGGCAGAGTATTTATTCTTTCTGAGGGTCCTCAGGCCCTATGGAGGCGCTGCTGCCTGCTCTCACCTCCTGCTTGCAGCCACCCCTTCCCAGTCCCGCACTCCTCCTGCTGCTCTGCTGGCACCAGCGCTTGGGCTTGGTGGAGCGCGATGGGAGGGCGAATGTGGCTGAAAAAATCCCAGCCAAAAAGGAAGGGGTGGGGGGCTGGCCAGCTCCGTGACCTGATCAATTTTGCAGCAACCTGAGCAGCTCTACTGGTAAAAGAAGGGATTGATGTAGGAGTAGGGGCTCCCTACACAGAGCTGTGCTCAATAGTGCTCAAGGAGTTGTGAGGTGACTTTTTGTTGTGGTTGCTTCCTCCTGCCAGCTTGGAGGACACAAGTCTGCCCACTACAGTTTGCTGGGGAGAAATCCCTGGCTCACACCATCTGGGGGAGGGTTGGTGCCTCATTAAGGGAAACTCCTGTCAAGTAGTAGCCAAAGGTTTTTATTCTTGTTTGTTTGTCATATAGTTAGGTCAAAATACAAGATTTTAACCAGTGAAGCTCTGCATGGTTTAAACTTCACTGCTTCCAAATAAAGGACGTGCTGTTTTGTTTAAGGCACTGATCAGGGGGCTACTACAGATTCATCCACCTACAGGGAAACGTCTCCTTGGTTGACATCAAGTAGTGTCTGATTTCTATTTGGAAACTAATGGTTTATGTAAATTGTAAAGATTTCTAACCCCCTATTTCTCAGTCTCACTTTCCTCTTGGAAGCAGGGGGTGACATCTGGATCCTGAGGGCTGAGGACGGAGCTTTGGTGTTGGCCAACAGGAGTTGATGGAGCTGTGTCTGAGAGCAGGCGTGTGGTCTGGGAGGAGGATCCAGTTGTTTCGCTATTAAATCAGACATTTTGAAAACTGAATTGTTTTAGAGAAGTAAAATACAGAACAAGTCACTTGTGAGAGACTTTTTTCCTTCCAGGAGGCATGGCCGGGGACAGGGAGATGTGCGGTGCATGCAGGTGAGCCACAACCCTGTCATGAGAAGGTGAAGAGTTTACAAAGTGATGATGCAGCGACTGTGTCCCTGTGGTGTGCTGGGCAGATTGGGACTGCTGGATAATCTTTAAGTTATTTTAAAATCATTATTTAGTTTATTTAAACTGTTATTTAAACTGTTGCCTCACCCTCTGTAACCTGGAGCTCCCAAATTACACTAGAATCTCTCATTTTTTCAGCAAAGCTGTGAAGGAAATGTATTTTTCAAGCAGTGAGAAATATATATCCCTATTGCATGCCTTTCCAGAAGGAGCTACAGTACCTGGCTGAGTGGAGAGGCAATCACAGCTCTGCATTAAGCAGATACGACTGAAAACTTGCTCTCCTGTAAAGGGTGTTGCTGCTTGATTGCGTCTGCATGTGATGCCCCCTTTCTTGTTAGGCTTTGAGATTGTTCGTACTGAATCTTCGCCTCGTTGCTTGCATCTGCTGAGGGTCTTTCTTCCTTTCAGCCCAATGATGTGATAGTCTCAACTGAATTTATTATTAAAAAAAATAAAAACAAGAAAAAACCCACCTGACCAAGGAAAGATAAAGCACCAACACAAGTTCCAGAGAGTGTTTCTTCCTGAGCTGCTTTAAAAACGTGCTGCAAACCTTGGGCAGCGAGCTGGGTGAAGAGATCAGTGGAAGGCTGCCCATGTGTTCAATCATCCACAGCCCCATTTATGCTGCTGTCATCACCGCTACCCCCGGGTGGGATATGGGGATTAAGAGCAGTTTGCAGATGTTTCCAGGGGCTGCAAACAGATTTTCCTGTTGTTTTGTGGTCTGTGTGAGGGTATTGTGTGAAATATAGGTGGTCTGTGGACTCAAAAGTCTTTGGTTTTGTAATACTGAAGCTGTGAAAAAGGAGACTTGAAACATGGGGTTTTGCCTTGAAACATGGGCATTTTGCCTTTATGGAGTAGTAGTGCTAAAATACTTAGTAATTCACTAGCAAAACTCTGTGCTTTCTGGAAAACTCCTAGTTTGAATGTTTGCTGATAACACGTTGCAGCCCAAGAAGAAAAGTGGCACTGGGAACAGGGAGGCGTTAAGGGAGACACCGGAGCACAGCAGGAAGAAACAGCAGAGTATTTGGGAAAATGCTCCTCTCTTCCCATGTAGCAGCAGAAGGAAAAACTAGTTTTGGAAAATGAGTTTCCTTTGATATACCTGCAAACATTACTTCTAGAGGGGAACTGAGCTTGCATAGCTTGGAACCATTGAGGCTGCCATAATTGTATATAGGACGCTGGAGGTTTGGAAGGATAAAAGTGTAAATCAATGGACCGCTGTCAACAGGATGATTACTATAGGTCTGCAGTAGGTGACAGCTGCGGGATATTTGACTTGCGAAGGGAGGGTCAAGAACACCCCACACTCTTCCAAAGAGCAGTAAAAATGAAGACTACTTGCAGTGAGTTAAGTTCAACGGGACATTCTTAATGCCTTTTCATAGGCAAATGCTAATAAAAGTATGTTTGCTTGAGTTAGGAGGTTCAGCTCCAGCTTTTTTGAGTCTTTTTTGTGCGAGGGCTTTGGAGGACACTGAATGAATGTGCAAGTTTTCTTTTACTGAGGAGAATCAGCCCCTGGGTTTGCATCTCAGTCTTATGTGCCTGTACCAGCCTTGGAGGCCTGCTGATTTGTGACTCAGTTGCAACCTTAAATATTGATAAGATTTCTCCCAAAAGCCTTTTAAAAAAATGTTATTCTGTCTGGGAAAGCTAAATACAGACTCAGAAAAGATATTCGGTATAGACAGCAAGGGATTTGGGTATGAGGAATCGCTTGCTGCTTTTAATGGTAGTGTGGCTAGTGCCCTACTCCAGAGTCAGGGTATAATTGTATATTTTATGCCCTATATATTGTAGAGTAGATCCTTTTTAATGCCTCTGGGTTTCATCCTGTCAAATGCACTTAGGATCTCTGTGATTTTTGGACATCCATACACACAAATAGATACTTAAAGCATGGTTGAATTGAAATAATGTCGTGTTCCATATGACAGCTCTTGCGGTGTCTTGGAGAACCAAAGTCTTCGTCTCCACAGAGAGGCTTCTTGACATCTCTGGTTTGGCCGATCAACAAATGCAGTTAGTAACTGGAAAAAGACGTTGCTGCTTTGTTGAGGTATTGACTCATTTGATGTATTAAAACCAAAACAAGCAACAAACTGATCTGCTTGTCTGAACTAGCCCAGCAGAGGCAGGCTGGGCTGGAGGATGTCGAGACTGGCCCTTGTTAGACTGTTGTGATCTTGTTTGCTTCGTTCCCTGGTGAAGAAATCAATTTGTTATTGGCATCAGTGCTTTGGGGCCTCAGATGAGGTCTTCTCTGTGTTAGTGTTGTCACTAACAGATCTCCGCCCTACAAACAGAATGTTACAGGAAACTTAGCAAACCATGAAGTTTTGTGTATTTGATACAGAAATTATATTGCATTGAAGTTATCTGAAAGATATTTTAATGAGTCAGAAATAGAAAATATTCAGTTCAGTGCACAGGAGACAAGATGTGCGGTTTCCATGCTAGCAGCTCAGCAAAATCTGCAGACAATTTTATTTAAGGATGGAAACCATTGGACATGGGGTTCTGCACAAACATATTTGTGCAGCGCTCCGTGCCTTTGAGTGACGCATTTCTCTTTGCGGAGGCGGTTCTCTATGGTGTGGAGTTGGGTTTTTTGTTTGCATCCTGGAGTAGCCCAGGAGGAACTTAAATCTGTGGGGATTTTCTCTGTGTCTGAACAGCCTGAACTGCTGTTTTTGCAATTTGCTGTAATGCACCTTTTTCAAGCAGATAAAGACTTGAGCGGCCAGACGTGCTCCCAGGAAGACAAATTCATGACCATTCCTGCCCTCTCTACTGCTCTGATGGCTTCTGTAGCAGCTTCAGACAAACCAAGCAAGTAGCCTGATAGATAGGGACACCTGAGAAGTTGTCTCTGCCTTGTTAACTTGTCTTTTAATACAGCTGTGCCGATGCTGCAGTCGATGCTTTTTGAGAGGGCGGTACCAGTCTGTCCCTGTGAACGTCCTGGCTATTTTCTTTATGCAACTGTTCCAGACTTGGACATTTCTTAGGCCTCTGCCTTTCAGTCAGGCTTGGTTGAAGTTGCCAATGAGTTCAAATTGGAGGGAGGGAATGAACTGGCAGTGACAACAGAAGCTTTTTTTTCCCCTAAAAATACTGATTTTAAAATACTACAGTTAGTATAAAAACATGTATTATGCTTTTTTTTCTTCATTCTCCTTAGCAGTGATAATTTGTATCCCTGCTATTGCTTGGAAGCAGACAGGGATGACGGGAGGAATTCACATCTTCCTGAGGCGCTGCCTAGTAGCCATTCTGCTGTTTTCCAAGTTCCTTCAGATGTGCAGGGATAAAACCCCCTAATAAAAACCCACAGCTTT